TCAAACTTTTGTAAGTCAAAAATCCTCTTTAATTCATGATTCAAATTATCAGTTGATTCCTGGACAAAGCTCTGAAGTTCAATGCAGTTTAAACCTCCTCAATTAAAAAATGTTCGGGTCGAACCTCCCCAAACCAAATTTTCAAGGTCTTTGTTCTTGACTTACAAATACACCTTAGAACACCTGTTCAAAAAAACGTGATTCTGCAAATTACTGTATTTTCTTCTTATCCTTCCGAAAGAATTAGGCATTTCCCTGCAGGTTGTATGCATATGAATAATGTACGGTTTGTGTTCATTTTGTCAGAAACTTATTTCCGTTCATGACCCTACCCGATGATGAAGCGGAATTTGCTCATTCAAAAGCTCTCCAAGACTAATTTTTTAGTCCATTCGAATTCGATCCGGACAGGTTCAACCTACGTAATTTACTTCAATCTAAGTAACATTTTACTGTAGTGAATCTCATTATAACGAAGTAATGTACTGTATTTGCTTACAAAAAGGTCATTTTCAGGCCCCTGCTGAATATAGCCACAATGTTGAATAACATTTTTTAAAACGAATTTTTCGTGATGACGAAGCCATTTCACTGGTCCCAAGCGCTTAATATGCAGTTTAACGAGATTTTACTGTACTTGCGTATTTTGAAGCTTTCAGGCCAATCCCAGGTCTCGAGATTTGCACAAACGTATCTGTAATATTGAATCCAGGCAATTTAAGAAAATATAAGAAACCCTTATTTCCTAACCAAATATATCTTTAATTACTTTTTGCCCTTCATTGCGTGTATAGATAATTAGAGCGTGAAGCAAGAAGAGTTTTGGTCACTTTTTGTCAGGAAATATTGTTGACTTTGCTGACAGAAAGATTATTTTCGGATAAAAATTTAAATGCTGTGTATTTCGAACAGTTTACGAACAGTTTTAACTCAAAATCCCAAGGGGATTTCCGGCCTCATCCCAGGCTAATTGTATACTCTCGGAAATTTTATAATTAGTCGACGAGGACGCACAATGACACATGATTTAATTTAAACTGAAAAAATATTTTCAAGTTCTCAAATCCGCGTTTATGAATGCTTATATAGATGCTCAACGACGAAAAATTTCCTCTCCCCGGATATCTTCGATAAAAGTCGCTGAACTTCGGAAACTTGGTCTTCGAAGTACGATTCGACAGGTTTTCCAGAAATTGGGACAATAATCTATTTGATCCGATGTCAACATTCTAGTGGATTCGGTAAGAAACGATATCCTTCCCTGGAAATGCTAACAAATTGTGAATGCATCAGATTATGATATGCATCAGCCACCGAACCTGTAATTGATGACAACTTCAACTTCGTTTTCATCATCCCCCCTTAAAAAAAAATACAAATGCCAGTACAATAGTTTAATGTGCCTGTGTTCATGGTATCCGTGTTCTGTTTGTATTTACAGAGTATTTTTTTCTTGTTGTTCGAATAATGAACATTCACTTGATGGTTCTTCAGGGTAGGAAAGAAGTTTGGACCATAGGGAGACTCGTAATAGGAGCCGGTTCTTGATAGTGAAAACGACTCCATTGGGTTCTTTAAAAAGTTCTGGACATTTCTCCACGCCGTAGTTTATGCAGTCTCGTCTCTTCATTAATGAATATGCATTCACGTGAAGAATACTTTCCATTTTCTGCAGTTTGAAAAAGATGTACTGTGCACAGAAAAGCGCGATGGGTTTCAAAAAGAGGAGTTTCACACTACTGCGAATATTTAGAGAAACTAGAGTTTCCGTCATTCTAAAAAAGAATGACATCAGTTTGTGAAAATGGGGCGATTTGCATGGATATTCAATTCGATCAATGAGAAGAGTGTATACAGTAATATCGGACTGACTGTATTAATATTTATTCCCTGTTTTTTTCAACATTTTACGAAGAAGGTCAGAATGTTTTGTATCCACAATGGAAACCCTTGCTTGCTTCACTACAGTTTATTTTGAAATTTTCTTCAATTTCATGTTGATACATGAGTCTCAAAAATATAATTACTTGAAAATATGGGAATCTGAAATGGCATTTGCGCAAAGCAGGCTTTGCATGAGAGGAGAAAAAAGGCAATTCGATGCATTTTTTTGAACTCATCAACAGGCTGCAGATTTTGTCTAGTCCGATAGGGCGTTTTAGGAGAAACCAGGTGAATATCCACCAGAAACCGGATCCGCACCCACCTGCTCTTTCCCCTGTTCCTACCTTTAAGAAGTTAAATTCTGAGAGATTAAATTCTGAGAATTTTTGTGTTTTTTTCACTTAGGTTAAGTTTGAATGTGTTCGAATGGAATCAGTATGTTTAGGGTTAGTTTTGTGTATACATTCACGTTAGTTTTGGTCTGATCAGCTTATTTTTGGTTTGCTGTTACTGAATGTCTGCAAAAAATTCTAAAAGGAATGCAGGTGAGCGTCAGTTTTTGAAAGATGGTCAATATACTGTACACAAATATTATTCAGAATTTTACTTCAAATGTTAAATTGAAACAAAGTAAAAAAAGCAGAATGAATTCTTAGTTTGGCACACCACATGAGTTCATTGCATTGGGGACATTCATCTTTCCAAACTTTTATAAGTGAATATAATACTGTACAGTAGAACCAATACAAGTGGTACCTTGCAATTCAACTGTAATCCGTTGCTGAACTATGGTTAAATTGCACATTGGTTGAATTGCAAGACACTCCGTGAAATTAAAAAAAAAATATATAAGTGAAAACACACAAAGAAAATGGGGGAAGCAGGTCAAATTTCAGGGCAAGGGTCAAATTGCAAGTCAACCTCCCTGCTAATTTGACCATTGAATTGCAGGAGGTCCAATTGCAAGGTACCACCTGTATTTAAATCTGTATATTTCATCGAAATATTTTTCAAGGTTTTAGGTGAGATTAGAGGGTTTGGAATTGAATAAGTTAATGTTTGGTTGAATGGGAGTAGTTTATGCCAGACCAGCTGAGTTTGTATTTGGTTATGGTAGGAAGTGTCTGCATGACTAAAAAAGGGGGATGTCCATTTTTTAAGATTGAGCTCTTCAGAAAAATTGTGGCTGAAAATTTATTTCAATTTTCCAGAAACATTAAAAAGCAGTGGGGCTCCAATATACAGGCATTTTGACAAATGGATGATTTGCCTCAGGGACATTTGAAACCTAAAAATCTGCCCCAACAAATGGAGAAAGTTTCAAAGTATGGAGGATATGGATACTTTTCAACATTTCTAAAAGAAATTTTATGAATTTTTCCTTGTGAATTGTGATATCTCTTGAAGAAATTGAGTTATTTATTTTCACAAAAATTAAAAATAGATTTCCTTATGCAATAATCTAATTCACATCAAAAGAGTGCTGATCTTTTGCTTTGTTACAAGTTTTTTCCATCATCTATGCACAGTGCATATAACTAGACTTGATTTTGTTGTTTTCTGGTTGAGCAATTTTTGATGCCAAAAGATCAGATTTTTTGTGGTTTTCTTTTGCACAGTCATCTTCTGCATCTTATTGAAGTTGAGAAACAAATATTTCATTTGTTGGGGACTTTTTTCCTTATTTTTGATGGGCAGGATAAGCAATTAAATATGCTCTCATTGGGGTATCTGTGATACACTATACAATACATGGACGCTCCAAGGTAGGGACATGGTCCACAAGCACCAATTCTGCGTCGACAACTAAGGGAACTGATGGAATTTAATGTTTGGCCCCATGAGTTCATTGCATCCTTCTCTGCATGTTTTTTTCTCCTCTTTTTTCCCCCCGCGTTTCCTGGCGCTCAGCAACCGCGCGATTATTGTCGTTCCCTCTCCGGAAACAGCCGGGGTGAGTCTCGCAGACCGCGAGTCTTCGCCCGGCCACTCACTCAGTAACTAACTCCTACTATCACTGTACCTGTGCTTCCCGCGGCTTTGTCTTCGGTTTCCTTCATACACTGCTAGCGAACCCAATCCTTCCTTCGCTGCTGGAGGCCGATTTCTTGGTGTTGGAGCCGCCGAGATGTATGGTTTATATATGTATAGACGAACTAGTGATATGTGATTTGATTTTGATTTATTTGTGAGCCGCGACGAGAATCGAGAGAGTTGTGCTGTTGATGAGTGCTGGAATTGGAAGATTATAAGATGGAGGAACTCACTCGCGGGGCATCGTACGTGAAGTGCAGAATCATACAAGGTTCTCATGAGCGGGGTCACGATTTTTCTTCCGTTTTTTTTTTTTTTATTTATGGTGATGGCTTGTGTTATGCAATTTTCGGCGTGTTCGGGTTCTATAAGTAATCGTCTGTTTGGCGATTATTTATCGTGGACACGGGATGATCTCATTTTGTTTGGTATTTACATGCACTGCCGATTTCTCAATATTTTTGTGGGGTCTTCGTGCAAAATCTCTCGAGTTTTCCGCTCTATTTTCTCTTTATTGATATTACATACAAATATTTTAGTTCTGCATGCAGTTGCTTATTACAGGAAAATATAGAGGCTAGTGAGTGAGGTCTGCTCATTCGTAAGTTTGTAGAAAGAATTTTAAACCGTGTTGATAATTCGAAACGTTTCTCGAAAACATAACTTTTCAGATCTTGAACCCCACTGAAATTTCGTTGCTTTATGGCTTCTTGCTCCAAAGTTTTCGTCATTTTTGTTATTGGTCAATGCATCGTTTCTAAAACTTTCTTATTGGAGTGATTTTCACGTATTTTTTTTACAGGTAAATAAGGATTTTCCTTGCAAAATTGTCACGCATTCTTGAAAAATCAAGCTGAATACTGTACGTGCTGGAAATTCAAGCATTTTTGAAACTTTCGCGAATAATTTCGCTGACTTTTTCAGTGTTTTACTGTACTCCTAGGTGTCGGAAAAAGTGTCTCGTTTCGGCATATTCGCGATTCAGTTCGATCATCATGATCTGTTTCTATCGTGTTTCGCGATGGTGACAGCATGAGCGGCGAAGTGGAAGTGGTTTTCATCTGAACAAAAGCCAATATATTTATTTTCAAGGATTCTTTGCAAATACAAGTTCGGGAATCAATATACATCATAATGTGAAGAAATCCTGCGAGTGCGTGTCTGTTGTGATCTGAAATCTATACTCGGAAGTTGATTCGCGAAGCAAGATTTTCCCCGAATTTCAATCATCTGAAATTCATGGCGTTCACGCTACTCAGAATTCCTGCTAGTTTGTATCCGTGTCATCAACTATAAGAGAAGACATCACATATGTAGGCTGAAAAGCTTCGATCCCGTCCAAGAAAAGGAAATCCGTGCCTTTCCAAAATGACGATATCGTATACGAGTGACGTTGCGACCAGTTCCGGATTCGGATGCTTCTGGAAAGTGCTGTGGAGGTGAAAAATATTTGTTCGCATGTTTTCGCTTGATTAAATTCAATTTTAGAGATTGGTGTATGAGTGCTGCATGATTCCTTTTTTGTTGCTGTAGGAATAGTTGCTTGATTTAATGAGGAAACTCAAATCTGGGCGATTGGAAACTCACAAAGACAAGTTCTTCAAAAATGCATAAACACATAAAATGCGACTGAAAAATGTAGATACAATTACTTTTCAGATTCTGTTAATATTTTAGAATATCTATACGCGTGTTGGATCTTATTTTTCCATGGACGTCGATGAGAAAATTTCACAATATTTTTCATGTTCGGCGGGAAAGTGAAAAAAGTCCATGTCAAAAATTCTATAAAATGAATTTTTTTTTAATTTCGACGCAAAGAAAAAGAAATGACACTGAAGGAAAGCTTAAAAAATCTGAATTTTCCGCAAGAGTAAAACCCCCGGAGAGAGAAGCACACCATAGGCATGTTTTTTCGAAATAAATCAGGACATTTTCGATAATCTTCATATAGATTTTTTTCCATAGCTGTAGCTCAATTTTTTGAAAAGATAGTAAAATTTGGAAAATTATTCAATTTTTCCCGGAATGTTTGAAATGTTTTCGAAGTTTTGCCTCATTGTCCAGATGTTGTTAAAAATATGAAAATCTACTTGTGAAGTCGACTGAATCGATGAGCATCATATTTTTGCGAACTGAACCCTTCCATAATATAACAAATTGATCGATGCAAGCCGGTGGGGAATCAATCTAAAAGCGCTGCTTTAATTCCACTTCTAAATGTAAATTCCTGAATAATTAAAGCATCAATGCGTGACACATGGGACGAAATAAACCAGTAGCTCAATCACGATTGATTAGCTCTTGAATAATAATTTCGTGGTACTGGATTTTTCGAAGGGAAACAAAAACCGGTCGCTGGGTAACCAAGTTGTCGGGGGCATTTCACGATCACGAAAGTTTTTCATACAGAATTTTTAAAAATATCAATACTGTTGAAGCTCATCAAAATTATAATTTTCTTCAGTCTTTCTGAGAAGGCAACAATATTCCTAATTTAATCAAGCTACAAACTTTATTTTCAAAATTTATACTTGAAAATATGCACTATAAAAAATCTAATCGGAAAAAGTGCATGTTTCTCACGAAATATAAAATTGAGAGCCTCGTGTTTCAAGTAAAAATGAGTGCTAATATTCTTTTACAGCACATGAAGCATTCTCACCAGAAATCGTGTTTTCATACTCTCAAAAGACGTGGCATTCAATCTTTGCCCAGACGAGAAATATAGGGAGAGCGTGGTTGAATTTATTTGGAAAAATCAACCATATAAACAAAATCAAAATTATGTAATGATTCAGTCTTGGTGTGAAGGTGATATTTATCGTTTACTGAAGTTATGATCGTTTTTGGAAATATTGCTACTTGAAAATTTGCACAATATAGAATATAATTGGAAGCAATTCCCTCGAAAAAGTGCCTGGGAAAATATGTTTAAAATTTTTGGAAATCCACAAGCATACTAACAATTAAAGCAGGATTTTTGTTGTTGTTATCTAACATTGAAAAAACTTGATCGAAGGGTGCGGTATGACCTTTCCTGTGCATGTTTCTAATTATTCTTTGTCAATTTTTTTCTCAGATGGAAAGGATCAATTTACAAATTGGTGTGGAAGGACTTGTTTGCGTTCTTGCTGTCGTATTTTGGAATAAGTGCTGCGTATCGCTTTGCCTTGGACGAGCCTTCAAAAAAGTAAGACGAATTCGGTTGAATAATGATGCACAATCACACGCTTAAATTGCAAGAAATGCCAGCATTCTTGTTGATGTACGATTTTTTAAAGAAACTACTGTAATACTCAAGTAACTTCTGATGAGGAGAGTTCATGATGATGCTCAGTTGATCGGCTCGTTAGTTTTAGGGGCCATTTACCCTCGTACCCAAGAAAAAATGGGTGAATTCTGCGTTGTGATCTTTATTTCTCGAGTGGGGGACTTTTTTCTTACATCTCTCAGAAGTCAGAACTTTTCTTGATCGTGTGGTAATTTCAAAAGCACAGTGGGACCCCAATATGCGGACACCCCGACGTATGGACAATTCGATTTTTGACACTTGGAAACCGAAAAGAAATCAGGCCCAACATCGGCTTGAGTTAGGGACACTTTTCAAAAATGTTCCGAAAAAATCGAAACATATTTTTTAATTTTTAAGTCTTTTAAAGAAATCAAGCTATTCATATCCACAAGAATGGAAATAAGTATTTCATGATACATTTACTCCAATTCATAATCAGAAGCAAGCTGATTTTATGTTTCATTTTTTTAAAGTTTTTTTCTAACATCTGTGCATATTCTGACAAAACTTATTCTTTTTCTTCTATTTTATCTCCTTTTGATACCAGAAGGTCAGATTCCATGTGGTTGTTGTTTTCCACAACTTGAAGTTGAGGGAACAATTTTATTTAATTTTTTGAGGACTTATTGCTAATTTTTCACAAAAATGAGAACCAATTAAATACATAGCAATAAAGTCGAAGTGAAAATGACACTTGACTTAGGGGCATTCCAACATTAGGACACTCATCCTGCACTAATTACGTTCGCTTCTCGGAGTCTCACTGTTCCGTAGTTTACTTTTCTGAGCATCTGATGGATAAATTTAGGAAACTCGAGATTCTTCCGGAAGTAATGATTGTATCAACAACCTGAAGTTATCGTTCGCTAGACAAGTTAATGTGTCCTGAATCTTGAACCAGACCAAATGTAACTAACCTAACATCATCTGATTGGGCATAACTTCACAAAACCTGATGCAAAATACAATCTGACCCGAAATAACCTTACGAAGCCCTCGAAGCACAATCATATAATTAACCGTTTTCTCAATATTGTCTCAATAAAGTAGTCGAGCCTCGTACACAATTTGTTTTCCTCCGTGATCTGATATCGGGTGTTGAAAATAATGTAATTATTATCGATGCGAAGGATAATTCCCCGAATTAAATGTTCGGAACGCTATTAATTTTCCGGATGTCGGCCAATTTTTCAAGGCTTAAAATTTGCGGATGTCGAATTATCGGAATTTCTTGGGGTCTTAACAAAAATAATAACCACATGAATTTGTAAATGTTTTCTCTTTCTTGAAATCTCTAGGCCAAAACAAAAATGAATGGATTTGACTTCACATCGACTCTCCGAAATAACCAATACAGTAATTAATTTGAAAGCACGACCAAAAATGTAAAAATACTATTGATTAGTACAGTACTTGAATTAAGTTTTACTTTCTATGTTTTAGAATCACCTTAATTCAGATACGCATATCTAATGGAAGCAATTAAAACATCTATCGAGATATTCAAAGATTTGGCTTAAAAAACGCATTATCCAGCATTTTAAAATTTTTTGACGAGAAATATAATGAATTCAAGGCTCCGTAAAATTTTCTTCAAATTATGCGGGGAATTCAAGGAAAAGTTTTGGGGAGGCATCGTTTTTTTTTTCTCGATGTGACATTACAACATAAGTATATTTTTTAAAACACTGTATTACTCTTCATATAAATACATTTCTAAATTAGGCGAAGGAACAGATGATGAGTTACACATTTTCGGAGAAGTTGAAAATAAATTTCTCAATCCTTATAATATAAGGACTAATTGCGTCACTCCGGTTATTATTTTCAAGTACTGACGGAATGATTCTGAAATTTCGTAAAATATAATTACCTAAGGTAATTTTTCTGCTGCAAAATGTGGCAATTATGAACGCCCTTTGAGGGGTGAAAATAAAGCGTCATTTTTATTGTAAATGTTCCGTAATTCATTCTACTCCACGCAAACTTTATAGAATGCAATAAACTAAATGACCAACGAGCCTCAATTCTTGCAGAAATTTAAATTGACGAAGTGATATTCCGATAATCAAATTTTCAGATTCGTGGGTGGATGTATCAGATTTAAAAAACACTTAGTTCAAAATTTTGAGGAGTATTTCACGCACACACACTTGAAAAGTCAAGTTTCTCCATTTTCCCTTACTTTGTGTTTCACGAAAAATCATGTGCTTTTCCCCTCGATAATTCAATTGCAAACTCAAAAACATTTTTACTGCCTCCTAAAAATCTGAGGAAAAGAAAGGAAAATATTTCCCGGGATTTTCAAGTAGGAATGTTTTCTTCTCGATGCACCTATCTATCAGTGAAAGTTCTCCTGAGGCAGTGAAAGGGATCGAGTATACAGTACCTTCAGTTCTGGTTCGAGGTAGTAAAAACGTGCTTTGATTTATGATATCTACGTTGGAAGCCGTGCAATCTAACGATGCCCGTAGGCGGTTACATAAAAGAGACCCCGCCGAGAAATGTTGATTATCCACCAATTATTGTTGTCTTGAATGATCAGCAGAATGATTACTTGCACGCGAACATATTTGAATGAAAAGTTGGAAAGAGCACGGAAAGCGAATATACAGGGTTGATCAGATGGCTATAAACTCATTTTTTGTCAAGTATATACTCCGTATACAGTGAAATCTCTTTACAAAAAACTCGTGGGGATTTTAGAAAAAGCTTGTTATAACGAATGAATTGTTATAACGAGATTTTTGAAATTTTTGACTGATTGGAATATTTTCTAAAAATGAAACCTGGATTTTCCGTATTTGACCTTTTCAGATGGTTTCTTTCAGCATTTAAAAAACTGTGATCTTCAAAAAAGAAGTTCAAATGCTAATAACAAGCATTTACTCTGAATAACTGGTCAACACCTGCAATTTTTTTTTTTTTTTTTTACTTTACTTTCAACTTTTTCTGAGCAATTCCTGTACAGATTTGCAAGAGTGGGTGTTCCAAAAAAGCTTACAATTTCTAAGCATCAGCACAGGGTTTCTCAAGCATACAAACCCTACTTAACAAGAGTTTTGTTGGGTTCATTTTTTCATCCACCCCTATCGCAAATTTAGTGAGTTCTTCTGAACAAACTGAAGGAAATTTCTTGTCAGCTTCCCAAGAAACTTAATGCTTTTTGGCGCTATTTTCTTTGAAGCTTATTAAAAGACCGGGCCATAAAAAGGTTATTTCTGTGAGAATTGGGTTTCACCCCTGCTCTCACAAAGAACTGAAATGGACCTTCAGCCCTTGAAATTCTTGAATCTTTGAAACACTGAACAGTAACTGTACTCCAGCTTAAAAAAAGCAGATGTTACAATCAATGCAAGAATCTCAGAGGAAATTTCCATTAGACAAACCCTTTTTCCTAACTCAGAAGTCCACGCAAGGACTTCACTAGCTCTCAAACCTCAGTAACGTGCGGTTCTACGAGTACTTGGCAAACTTGTCATCAAAATACTTTTGTGAAAATACACCATATTAGAATAGGGTGTTCTCAAGCATCCCGGTTGTAGCCCAACCAAGTCTGTTGTACCATTTATTTACTCTCGTTGTAATTTATCCTCATATCTTTGTGACAACCCCCCTCCATCTTTCCTAACCCAGGAAGCAATTTGGAACCAGAAAATGTTTCTGGTGGATTTTGATTACTTTTCATCCTTGATTCCACCTTATATCCTAAAAACCAGTCACAATCACACTTTGAATGGGAAGTTTGAGACTGTGCCTGCCTTCATCAGGGATTTTTCACCAAGAAATCACAACAAGCTCCTTGAAAAAGTTCGTTGTACTGAAAAACATTTTGTTACGGAATTCGTTGCGAAGAGATTTTACTTAGTTGGCATATATGTACTCGTACTTCAACTGCCTCGAGGTAACATTCAGGTTGAAGCTCGCCGAACCATTTTGAATTTTTATTATTTTCGAACTTTTTGAAGGGACTCTGCAGGATCAAAACACTAATTTGAATCCATTTTATGCTAAGAAAATGGTGCAAAAATGTCGTAAGCGCGGCGGAAAATAGTTTCTATTGAATTATTTGAGCGGTAACTACCTCGAGACAACATCAACTTCGAAGCTCAGCACGGAATCATTTTTTTTTTAATTTCAAGTTAATTTGCACGACCATCAGAACGCTGATTTGAATCAATTCTATGCGGATGAAAAAGTGCAAATAATAATTTCGGATGGATGAAATGTCGAATTTTCAAGACCTTTTTTTTCCAATGCATGTGAGTGATTGATTGTTCGATTCAATTTTCAGATATTTCGAGCAAGTCGTCATCTATGTGAGCAAGTCGTACACGAAATTAATCCCGTTATCCTTCGTCCTCGGTTTCTATGTGTCCATTATCATGACACGCTGGTGGAACCAAGTCAGCGGAGTGCCATGGCCTGACACCGTGTCTCTTTATGTCAATTCCTGCATGACGAACAACAAGGTAAACATTTCAAAATATTCATTTAAAGTTGAGTGTATTTGGGGAAGTGTAATTAGAGTTGAAAACGAATTTGTCCTTTATGTTGTTCGCATAGCCGACAAGGACCTTATATTTTTTTCTGATTCTGCAGGTGAAACGTTAATTGATAAGGGTTAGTTTTTCAATGTGTCATTCTTCGTGTTTATAATTTTCTCTCTTTTTGGATCATTGTATATGATGAAATTTTTACAGCATAATGTCTATAGTAATTCATCGACAGACAGCCATATGTTTTTTAAATCTTCCACGTTGGAAAAAAAAGATGGTATGTTGAAAATGCACCTCATCGTCATGTTATGGAAACTAAGGTTCAAGAAACACATTTTGACGTGGTATTAGACATTTTTGAACGGTTTGTCTGAGAGCTAATAAATATCTTGACTACCGTATTCGAAAAAAAAAAAAACAATTTAGTGACCAGTATGTCCAAGAAATCGGAACGATGTTCCAAAGGGAAAATCTTTTCAGTCTTGATCATCATCGAATTATATTATTTATTCAGTTTCATCGGGAATTTTTCCATTAAATTTCAATTTGCTGAGCTAAAATTTGCTGAAGTCAAGGATGCGCAGGCAAAAATTACGCTCCGCAAATTTGCATATGAATAATTTACGTTTTTTGAATAATTTTATTCATTTGGAATATTTGAGTTAAGTAAGTTTTTGGTATCGGAAGAAATTAATCTGAAGGCACTTCAATAGAATTGTATTTCGATAGAACTTTTCAAAACGACGCGTTCGAATTTATCATATGTTTTACGTTGTCGAAATTATTTATATCAACAGTCTCCAAGAGCCAGGATGTTCAGACGAACAATTGTGCGGTACTTGAACCTTGCATTCGTGATCTCCATGTCAAAAGTGAGTCCGCGTGTCAAGAGACGGTTTCCAACCCTGGATCACATCATTGAAGCAGGTACGAAACAAAGCGAATTTTCTGACAAACGTTTTCTTGGCTGTCTTCTGATCAGAAGTTGGAATACATTATCTTGCTTGATTAATCAGTTGCATTGCTTCCTTTTTTCGAGTTACGAAGCAGAATTGATCAAGTAGCTGAATATAGTTTATCCCGTGGCGATAAAAGCCTTCGTTGCAGCATTTAAACCCGAGTTCGATGCATTGCTTTTGTTGTTTTTGTTACATAATGGGCGATATACAACATATTTCTTTTCATGATCGTTTTGGCATTACAGCATTATGCAATAATTTGCCATGAAGTTCTTGAATTAGTTACTGGACGGATTCAAATATTGTACTGTACTGTATAATTATTACTAATACTTTTCTCATGCTATTGTGCAGTTCTATACAGTAACTTGGGATCCGAGATAATTTTAATAGAGATTCCTGGAAATATTGAGAAGAAATTGAAATAGCTAGCTATGAAACGATATCGGTTGAATTTCGTTCATCAAGTCTTGGTTCGCCTGTAATTTTGAGTGCGAACTGCGGATATTGATAAATTTCGAGTAGTTTGACATAACGTTTTCTGAGCAGTGACACCTAGTGCATTTTGTCCTCGTAGGTCTTCTGAATGACCACGAGAAGTCGCTGCTTGGTGGGATCGACAAAAAATCGCAGTATTCGAACTGGTTCGTGCCCATCGTCTGGTGTGCCGGGGTCGCGAAACAAGCCCAACGAGAAGGCATGTTTATTGGCGAACAATCATACTTGGCACTGCTCAGCAGGATCACAGATTTTCGAGGAGCATGTGGAAATATTTTGAACTACGATTGGATCAGTGTGCCTCTCGTCTACACCCAGGTGTGCAAAAAAGGGGGAAAAATGTCTTATGCATAAAATACTTCGATTGTTTCTTGATACTGTTTCTTCATAATACTGTGAAGGGATTTCAGCTGAATTTTTGAGTTTTGTGCTCAGAAATCCTTTTCACGTTGCAATTTTTTTTCCATGTATTTTGCACTGACTTCCGGGAAGAAATTTGTATTGCTTTCACCTAGATTTTATATTTAAAAGCCTCTTTCAAGGGATCAGAAAAAATCGAATTAGGGAGGTCTTGATTGCTGCGTGAAGCATAATACTGTATTTCGTTACTGGAAATGAGTAGAGGTATGAAGAATTCCACCGGAAAGTAAAATGGGCGATTCTTTGCCTTATTTTATTGCACGAAATGTCCCTTCTCGAAAAAGGAATGTAGGTGGCAATGTTATTGGTGATATTCTGAGCCTCCAATTTCTTTTGAATGAGTCGACAGGATGTTGAACTTTAAAGCAAGGGTTTATTTGCCCAATCAGTCTTCTTCTTATTTTCAAAATGCATCAAGTTTAATTTCAACTACTTTCTTTTTTCCTGTTTCAATGAAATAAAAGCCGAAAGGTCTCCAAAAATTATTTTAATGTAGTTATGAAGGGAAATCCTTCGAGTTTCAGAGGCTTTTAATGCATTTTTTCTGAGGAAATCCAGACAAAGACGGAGAAATTCGACACCGGGAGGTGTTCGACTAAGGGACCTTTCGAGGTATCGAGTTTCAATTGTATTTGTCAATTGCAGGTGGTGACGTTTGCAGTGTACGCTTATTTCCTGGCTGATCTTTTCGGCAACCAGTGGATTGAAGCCGGAGATATTGACATGTATTTTCCTATCTTCCCTTGTTTGCAGGTTTGTTTGCCAAAAGCCGGAAACGGAACCTCAAATTTACTCTTTTCAATCTTGATTATTTCATTGCACGAAATGTCTTTTTCTCGAAAAATGATTGTTGGATGAAGCTAGAATCTATTTCGGATTTTTTCATGTGTTTTCAGTTTTTATTTTACATGGGTTGGCTCAAAGTGGCTGAAGTTCTCATCAACCCTTTCGGTGACGACGACGAAGACTTCGAGCTCAACTGGGTCATTGACAGAAATATTCAGGTCTGTTTCCCGTAATGTTTTACGCAGTATTCTTAAAAATAATCATTATATATGTTGAAAGGAAAATTCAGATTTTCTTGCTCAATTTCATTAATTATTTATGCAGTGATATGTTATTATAGGTACTTCATTCAAGGGCCTCTGGATGAAAATTCTAGTTTGAAATAGTTGCCCTTTGTAAATTTATTGTGATTCATGAATGTACGCATGAGCTCATATGACGCAGTGTCGTGGAATTTCATTTACTGTACTGTATAAACGAACTCTAGAATACCTTGAAACTTGGTTTGAAAAGCTCATCATTTCTCTTAAATTTGAAATGCAATATCTTGGAAGTTTGAAAAAGAGGATTAAATAAAGTTACCGTCCAATATTTATCATCGAGAAAATTTTTTTGTGAAATAATTTCATATGGAGAAAGCAACCGTTTCTTCATTCTCTACTTCTGGTCAAGTGATCTGAATTGCCACATTGTACAGTATAATAAAATTAAAGTTTACACGCTACAGAACTTATTTACCAATGTCATCCAGGGATAGAACATTTTCACCGCTTTTGTTCGAACGCGAACTGCTGTGATGCTCGTCAAGAATGCTGGAGACGAATAAACAACTTAAATTAAATTGGAAACCGAATACAGTACTATGTACTTTACTGTTATTTGAAATTCCCTGCACTTGTGATGCTTGTTTTCAGTGTACTGATATCAAGAATTATTTATTTATAGGGTACCTCTATTGTTGATATTCTCTCTTAATATAGGAATGATTGGGGCTATCAACAATTGAAATTACTCCACTAAATAAAAAATGTGTACCGGTTTTTTTGTTGGGACTTTAGTCAATGTCAATGAAGCCATTTTTTTCAAACCTTGATAGTTTTCTGCTATACATGAATGTTTTACAAGCATTGCTTCCCTCAATGTTTTTTTTTTTTTTTGCCGAACTCACAACATATATTATTGCAGATTGCGTATTTGGTGGCCGACGATTTGCACGAGTCGCATCCGGAAGTGAGCAAGGACGTGCACTGGATCGAAGGCGTCCCTCAGGACATCCCGCACACGATCGCGTCCGAGATGCAAAAGGAGGAGCCGTTTATCGAGGGCTCGACGGCGCACATCACCGCCGAATCCATGCAGGAAGATGCGGACATTGCGCCGCCGCGGGCCAAGACGCCGCTGTTGGACGACTTGTCGCAGGCGTCGGTTTCCCACTCCCCGGCACTGGTGAGTGCATGCTGTGTCCTATTCATGTACAGCATACACGTCGTGTAAACGCAGTCGATTTAAATATCATCTTATTTGACGAGTTAATCGTTATGGAGAGTAAGTACAGTACTGTATTTCAAGGCTGCATCATAATGGTCACAGCAAAAAAAAAAAAAAAAAAACGATTGACGGGTATATAATGACGATGATAGCAAGATATCGTTGGAAACGCATTTTCAAGATCGATCGTAAAAAAAAGATTATAAATTTCTTAACGAATTAAAATACTGCAGTCGTTCTGCAAAAAAAAAAAACGATGTTTTCTTTCAACGCTGCAACATAAATTACATAATAGTTACTTCTGAACGAAACACGGAATCAATGGACATGGCGGCGATGAGAGGAATATATTTTTGAAGAAGCATTTTCAAGAATCATTTCCAGATCCCAAACGGGATATTTTTTGCTTCTTTTCTTGGAGTTTGTAAGGTTTTATTTTGTGTGGTTGGAATTTTACAAGCCTTACACCTGTAAAGAATTTGTGGAGTTTGCTGAAATGAACCTTGTCAAACAATTAATCAGGCGTAGAATTAAAACACAGTACTTGGCCTTGTAAGGTTTTATTTTGTGTGGTTGGAATTTTACAAGCCTTACACCTGTAAAGAATTTGTGGAGTTTGCTGAAATGAACCTTGTCAAACAATTAATCAGGCGTAGAATTAAAACACAGTACTTGGCCGGTGCGCGAACCGACCGGGGAACTATTTCCCCACTAGCGCTGACCTTTTCTTTTCTCTCACAAAATAGATACAAATAGCAGCAATAATATACACTTTCGGTTTTCGCGGAAATTTGAACTTGAATATTCCCAAAGCTGGGTTCAGAAATTTTTTGGCACACAAAATATTCACATATAACAGAACCTTTTGTAAAAGGTTTTTCAACAGGGTTCGTAAAAGAACAGATTAGTTACGTGAGATTCTTTTGGCTCAAGTCCGGAAAGAACTTCAGCAAAATTAATTTGGAAGATAAAAGGGGGTATTATTCACACAAAGTTTTCTCGAGTTTTTGTTTCAGGTTAGGTTTTTGACGTAGAAGGATATCTGAAATACTGGATGGAGAGATATGACGTATAAAGTCGTACTCAAGTTTTGAGTTCAAGGAATAGATATTTTAAAGATTAAAATAGGGGGTTTCCAGAATTGGATGTTTGAAATCACACAACACTCAACACACAACGATTTTGCTAAGTCCGAAAAAATATATATGAGGTTTTCGAAAATGCAACGCACGCAAAAATAATCCGCTGACGTCCTGAATTCGACTGGTGGTGTTGCGCAAAATTCGGGGGTTTTTATGTAATTTTCTCCCCCTGTTTTGGCGCGAATTTTCGGAGATGGAAAAAATACCCAGGTGTTCAAAATTTTGAAACGTTTTTAGAGCGCCAGATGTTGGCAGTTAACAACATCTTTTAGTGCTGTCTTCCGATTTTCTTGAACATGTTTTTTCCCGGTGCCGGGTGTCGTACATGTTTTTCCCGGCACCGGGTGTCGTTTTTATTAGCTTGGAAGTGAGGGGCCTTTTTCCGCAGTAAACTAATATCCTTAAGAAATCGGTTTTTCTGGGGATCTGCAAAATTTTGGGCAGTTTAGAGTTGTTTTCACTCTAGGGATAAATTGTTTTACATGAAAGACGATATATTTTTGCCCATTTTACCAGCAGATGGTAGTGTTTGGATTTTTGTTTCTTAGTACGTTTCTCATGGGAAGGGAGCGATTTTCTTTCTCTAAAGGAGCTTGCCGATTTTTACAATCGGCTCGTATTGCCCCGATTCCCGTGAACGGTTTTTTCTTTCAGTATACTTTTTTCTTTTTGCTGAATTTTTTGTCTTTGGGTAGAATTGCCCTGGTTCCGGGGATAGTTTTTCTTTTTTGGCGTGTCCCTTTTTCTCCCTTTCAGGATTTTGTGACCAGCTCCGATTGCCCCGGTTTTTGGGGAGACAAATTTTCTGACTCTTGTCTTTTTCGGCACATCCCGAGATGTGCCGATTAAATTACAAGTCAACGAACCCCTCTTTCCCTCGTGGCGGCGCCCTTTGCCGCCAAACAAATTTCGCACATAGTGAAAAATGTTTCGATTTTTAAAAGAAGCCTTAATTTTATTTTCCTCCGTTCTACATGACTTGATTCTGTTTTGAAATTGCCTCCAGCTTCTTAATAGAAACTTAATTGCATGCACAGGAGAGAGAGAGAGAGAGACAGAGACAGACAAAAAGAGAGAGAAAGACCGAGCGAGAAGTAAAGATAAAGAGAATTACCAGTATATACTGCATTTAAAGCATAATTTTCAAGCAACAACGTTGTATATAGTGAAAAAATGTTTCGATTTTTAAAAGAAGCCTTAATTTTATTTTCCTTCGTTCTACACGACTTGATTCTGAGCTGAACAGCAATAAAAATGCAAATAAACGTGTACATGTAAGTTCACGAAGCATGGGAAATTCGGAGCATGGTTCAAGAAGCCATGCAATTTTTCATCATTTTTGTTTCACATCACCACTGCAATGTTGAAGGTAACATCAACGTGCGGCGATATTAATTAGTTCACCAGGTACTTGCTGGTGATCATTTCTACAGTTACTGTATTTTGTAACCTTTTTTGGAAATCGCCGAACATGATGACGAAAGCGTGAAGAAGTATGCTCCAAGCGTGACGTTTTTCGATATTTTCGACATGAAATGTATTCTTCAAGTTTCCCGCGACTCTCAAACAATCAACTAATTGATTTTTTGGAACGTTCTCGAACCAGAGAGAGAGAGAGAGACATGAAACTTTTTAGAACCTCGAGAAGTACTAGGCTAGATTACGTCGGAGAACAACGTAAAGACATCATGGATTGCTCAATAGTTGTGCCCATGTCAGATTGAAAGAGTGTTCTGCATCATTGAAGTTGGCTAACGTCATGATGCATCAGAGAAATTCACTCATCAACTGCAAAACATCCAGTTTTCTTTTTTCTTCATAAATATATGCATAGGCTGGGACAGTTATGTTGTAAAATATTTAAAATTACTGATTGATCTAAATTTGTATTTAACAGCTTGTAATATAGTCCAACCTCTTCAAATCAAATTCAAAAGTACCTACAGAAAAAATTACTTCTGAGTTAGGGAAACCATCATTTTTGCTGGGGAAAAGGGGGAGAAGAAAGGTTAAATTGGCAATATTCTCAGCCCTAAACTTTGGGATAAATTAGTTCAGACAGCACTGCCAAAATTTGAGACACAAGAGTTCATTTGCATAATAAATTTGTCATAAAATAGTTTCTATCATTCCCTTTCTTGCTAGCAGACAATGCACAAGGCAGTAGCATGCTTCCTACTTTTGTGCTCCTAATGATGTGCCTCTGCACCAAGTTGTGTGCCAACAAGTTACATAAATTGGCCCAAAACAAGGTCAGATCTGGGTCTGGCCAGTCTTGCCCAATCTCAAGCCACAAAGTCTATGAAGGCATCTGCCTTTCCAGTGCTCATTGTATCTCCAATGATTGTTTGTTGAATCTATGCTACTTATCATTGCCTATACTTGTTGAATACAAGAAACAAACACTTGCATTCTTTTATAAAATTCTTGAGGGGTCGTCATTGATTGACCCAGCAATAAGGATTAGAAATCTCCTCACCAAAATAAGTTGTCAGACCTAAATTAAGAATGCCTTACAATGGTAAGAATTCAAGTATAAATACTCAAGAGACTTCTGGAGAACTTTATATTTACTTAACATCAATTTAAGTCTGCTGATAACAAGTCAGTCACATTTTTTTAAAGCATCAATAATATTCATTGATCTCCTCTTTCCTTGACACCTCAAGAATAGCCAAAATGGATCAAAAATTAAATTTTCTGTGGTTCAAGGGGAAACACCTTTGGATTGATGAGGTCTATATCACATTTTTCTGAAGAAAACTCAAAACAATGACTATAAAAAAGAATTTGACATAAGGATGCTTTTTGTAAACTTGAGGAGGTTCTTTTTTGGTGAAGTAAAATAGTATCTCTTATTGTCACACTCCGGGAAGCCTGGTGATCATTAGCCAAAGTTAGAAGCAAAATACAGTGAGACTCTCACATGCAGACACCTTGACACGTGGACAATTCAAAATAGGGGCACTTATTTTCACATAAAAAATTGATTAAAGGCCCAACATGAGGACACTGACTCAACATAGGGACATTTTGTGATGAAATTGGAAATACATTTCAAGCCAAATTACAAGAAACAAATATTTCCAACCATAAAATTGATGTAAGAAAAGTTCTTGGGCATTTCTCTCACCAATTTACCATTCATTTAGCTAATTAAAAAAATTACCTTCAGCATAGAGGTACAGTACTTCTTTCTCTCTTTTTCACTTGAATGTTACTTTTACAAAGAATGCCAGCATTTCTATGTACTGTATACAGAGGTATCAGTATTGAATTCCCCAAATGTCCATATTGTGTTGAAATATATTGATTGAATCAGTATCAATTGTGAGACAATTCTCATTTTCATGGAATTATGGTGAGTATTTTGTCCATGAAAAACACCAATTAAACATTATATAATGTAAGTCTATGGGAAAATGAGACTCAACTCACAGACATTTCAACTTAGGGACACTCTTGAAGCACCAATTACATCCACATCTCAGGCTCCGGCTGTAATGTTTCCTCAGATTATTTTCATCTTCTGAATAAAGTAAAATTCTGGCCATGAATTTGTGATTCCCAGGTAAATCTGTAGGGAATTCCTGCAGGCGTGTGGAGAAGGAATAAATATCGCAAGCAGGGATGCAACAACTTCAGAGTTGAAGGCGGACGCAGAACGAGCTCTCAAGAATGTATCCATCACTCTGCGCGGGGCCAGCAGTGAATAATTACGGTGGGCATCAGTCAAACCTTCTTACTCACATACACACACACACACACATACACACACACACACTTACACACACACACACACTTACACACACACACTTCTACATACTCTTGATCCGCCATGCAGGCAACGATTCTCGCATTACGAACCGTCAGTTTAGGAAAAGATTGAACAGCTGCTGAATGAGAGCGAAGAATAAGAGACGAGTGCACTTGTGTTATGAATGCTTGGGGGAAGAAGGAGAAGAAGGTAAAAAAAAACATCCCCTTCTCTCTCTCTCTTGCTTATTTTTATTTTTAATTTTAATTTTTTTTTTGTGGATAATGGCACGATTGTATGGAGTTGCCCCCCCGCTGACGGGAATCACGCGCGCCTCGCACTTGCGGCCCACCACCAAACTGGCCGCGAATATCATTCACTTCTTTTCCCCCCACGAATTCGAATCCGTCTTCTGCTTCCCTTTAACTAGTCTTTCGTAAAACCTGGATCCATCAAAGGAAGGCTGCTATAGCTTCTTCCCTGGATAATTTCAATCAAAATTTGTTTTCCCGTTTTTTGTTGGTCTTCTTGGGGGTGGAATCTGTGGGAGTGTACGTATGAGAAACTCTGCGTTTTTTTTTTGTGGCCCGAACCGGGCTCGAACTTGAAGCAGGAAAAAATATTTTATGTGCTACAGATTACGTGGTTATCATTGGGAATGTTACAGGGTGATGGACCAGAATTAAAATTAGCCGACATTTTCAAGCAATATAATAACAACGGTTTGAGAGCTGTACATTTCGGAGAGCAATTTTTAGGAATTAATTTGCATGTAACTTTCTTCTGGATGATTCCAATCTTATGTAGTATTTTCCTCTGGACTCGTAGGGAAAAATACATTATAAACATTTTGAACAAGAAAAAGTTTGCTATGAAGTTCTTTTCATCATCAGTGTTCAGACTCATCTGTCTCAATTGAAGGTTTCCTTTGCCGTCCGAATGACGCAACTTTTCAAAATATTTTGGAAAGATATTTCAGGATGCTGCGTGAATTTCCCCCAAAATTTCCCGCGACATTTACCAAAAAAAAGATGACGAGGATAAAGTAAAGGACTTCTTTTGGGACGGAAATCAGCTGCATTTTCCCGTTTCAACTCATCCGCAGAAATTCAAACTTTTGGCAGAGGAAATACGATTTCTGGAATACGATCTTATTTGAATGCTCTCCAGTACTAGCATACAATATACCGTGGTATCATAAAATTATGTCCTGGAACTGCTTTTCGAGAGGAAAACATCATCAGGAAATTCGGAGGATTCCTGATTCAACGTGATTGATCAGACAAACGAGTTTGTGGTCGGTCGTTATTATCTCACGTGGGGCTCTTCGAATCTTCAGTCGCCGCAGGGCAAGGTTAGAAAAAACAATTGCCGTAACTCTGTCCAAGTGAAGACAAGCCCATCGTCATTCACTACTATTTTTAATCGAACCCTTTGATGGATCCTCAAACCTGATCAAATTCATGCGCCCAATCAATTGTGAATGATAAAAAACGGCCTGATTTACCTGATCCGGCCGAGGATGATATTTTTCGTGTGCTAGAATAATAATTTTGTTTGTTGAGAAAAAATTTGTAGTCCACTTCACAGACTTTGATTTTGAGGAACTTGAATGGTTTGTTTAGTTTGTGGGTTGCAAGATTATTTATCGGTGGCAGGGGTTTTTTATTGTCTGAAAAAAGAGTCTCTGTCGTGAGTGTGGCAGAAGTCGTGATTGAGTTCGCATTTCGAAATTAGTCACCTAATCAGCATTCAGTATAAATTCTTATGTAATTCAGGTCTAATTCCGTTTTAACGAAAATAACCTATATAGTACCTATCATATAGCGATTTTTTTTTAAGATTCCAACCAATACTCCTCACTCACAACTCTGAATGAATTCTGTATCCGAGTTGCACAGTTCAATGGAACATTTACTTTGTTCTATTTTTCTTTACACTAATAAGAATAAAACAGAAGTATCTTTCCCGGAGAACCATTTTTTATAGTACTTCTGCTGTAAGAAATGTGCATAATCCAATTGGATATCGTAAGATTTTTTCAAGAAGTGTATGATGATGATGTGTCTGTATAAATAGAAAAGAACAAAATCATGTAAAAAAGGATTGACTTTTTATTCCAGAAAAATTGCTATACTGTAATACTTTTCAAGAGTCTCCATTCAGCGATTATGAAAAACTTATTTTGGGTCCGTGGGTGTTTTTGTAACGTCACTTGACCTTGCACTAATCACAGGTTTTTTTTTCGTGAGCCAATTTAATCAAAAGAAAACAACAGAAAGAAGAATTCGCAAAACAGCGACATGAGCCTCGATGGTCGTATATATATTCAACATCGAAGGCATTTTTTCGAATTTTTCTCCCGAATGAATAAATTTTGGGATTGATTCCTTGGAGATCGAAGTGATGAACGGGGTACGAATCCATCAATCCAAGCAGTTGGTGGTCGCGTGGTCAATGCTCGAGTGGATCTTTTCCGAGGGAATGAAGGCTTCATCTATTTTTTTTTTCATCAACTCTCCCCCCGCGCCCATATTTTTGTTGTTGTTGATTTACCCGAATCATCTCTCAGTTGAAGGAAGACGAATATCCTGCAATTTTCGGTCTGGAAATGAGGCAGCAGGTGGCGAAAATAAAACCATACGAGCGAGATCCCGCCAATAAACACAGCGTGACGTCGTGACCGCATGCATCCGGTGATCTTCCTTGCTATACTCAGAAAGAAGAATTTCAATTCATGGTACAGGTCTGGAACAACTTCGGATATATTAGTAGAGAGAGAGAGAGAAAAAAAAAAGAAATCAGGGTCAGAAAGCCCGGGGGAATCATTCCTCAATGTTCATTAAGCAACCTGGTTGGCTTTGAATCAACTTCCGGCTATACCTGCTCATATTTCCGTAGATAATGCTGCATATAGGCAAGCTGACAGCTTCATTCCAATTTTGAAAACGATTTAAAATATTGCTTAATTTAAAAAAATGAATAAAATCCTTTTCTGCAGAAAACCGGAGTGGGCTTTGGACAACAGTTAGCCATCGCAATTAGCCATTTTTCAATAGTGTACTGTATATTCAAATTTGAGTGAAATCTCAGATATGCCTATTACAATCTAATACAGCCACATTTATAGCTTATATATACACATCAGATATCGCATTTGAATATTGAAACTAAATGTTTTGCTATGCTAAAACGTAGAGCAAATGCCAATTCAAACTCTGCTCAACTGCTTAACGTTCTTTTAAATTATTGATAAGTATTCGAATACCGACATCAACACAATTTCAAGCAGCATTAATATTGATAATTAATAGCTAGTTTTATCATCCTGAAATTTCCCTGCTGGGTAAGACATTTTAGCGACCTAAAAAATGGAATACAGATACTGTATTTTGGAAAATAAAATGCTCCAGAATTTAAATTTTGACATTTATAGTACCCAAATTGAATGAGTTTTCGGATTTTCTCTATTTTGAAATTGTTTGCTAAATTGGTCAAGTATTTGCTTTTAGAATCAAGAATGACTTGCAACAAAATTTGTAAAATTTATGAAAATTGCATATCCATCCGTAACGCACAGGCTCTTTTTCCCCCCTCGTAAATTCAAGAAAAAGTGTTCCTGGTTCTTGAATAAATTCTGTAATCCAGGCTCTTCAAATTTTAAAACCCACAAATTTTCAGGGGATTAAAGAAAAATATACAAATGTCATCTATGCTTATCTACATATCCTTACAAAGTTATTTGACAGCGTTGAAAATATTTCAAAAGATAACCCATCTACGAAACTCTTTGCCAAAGCCTCACTATATCCGAGTAACTCTTCTGCCGTCGATTGAAACATGTCCTTTGCGAAAATTTCGCGATTGAGCATTAGTCTTTTTTTTTACCCAGGGATTTAAATTTAAATTCACAGTATTTAAATTCAAAGTGTCTACCGTTCTTATACAGGGTAAAGGTTACGCAAAAATACGCCTTATCAGCGGGGTGGATAATATAATTCCTGCAGCTTTCATCGTCAGGAAGTTTCATCGAGGAAAACAACACTCCTGCAGCAGAACACAGAGTGAGAGAGAGATAGAAAATAAGAAGAAAAAGAAGAAGAAGGCGACGATGAACAAAATCGAGAAGAAATGAATCGATGAATTGATTGAGAAAAAAAGAAAGAAAGAAAGAAAGAAAGCAAGACGATCATCGGAAAGTTGAAGAAAATGATGAGAGGAAATCTCCGGTGACGTTGAAGCGCGATGAAGAACAGCGGTGGGATGAGGGATCGCATTTCCCCCCGTCGACACGCCCCGCGGGTTCCAAGTCAAATTGTGCATAAAAAGCCCGTGTGCATTAGCTCTCGCCTCCTGCGAACCTGACGCACTTCGAATCCCCCCGCACACCATGGGAGCACCGGCCTTATTTGCTCCCCTTATATTCTATCCCCCTCAAACCCCCCCCCCCCCTTTGCCAGAAAGCATACCTCATCTCTTTTCTCTCTCCCTCTCTCAAGTATTTTTTTTCCTTCACCTTGCTTTTCACACCTGGACTCGCTGAAATTCTCGCCTATGGGTCGGCGAAAAAAGGCCAGGCCCTCGGGGGCTTCGTATAGCTCTGCGGGAAACCGAAGGATGAAGGAGAAACGTACGCTTTTTTTTTTGCAGCGATATGAGGACGGTTTCAATTTTATGCAATACTGTATATACACTTGGTCATATTTACCGACTGCCGTGAGAACTGTTCGCGATGCGAAATGGAAAATTGCGTTGATGTTAATCCGCAAGTTCGAAGTCCTTTTTTAAATCTACAAATAAAAAATAAAATAAAGTAGAGAAAATATCCCCGCATATTAGTCTACATCACGTTTGGATCCTGTGCGGTTTTAAATGTCTTCAAAGATGAACTAAAGCAAAAATCGATACAATTTCAAGGTTCATTTCAAATAAGAAGTCAGGCTGTTTGAAACTGACCAATTATTCAGATGTTCATAATGATGATCGCATTAAAGCTGGTTAATCATGCTGTACGACAGAAAATTTGAAAGTAGTCCAATGTAGACATAACTATTGTATACTGCACACATCTTTCGCATGCCAAAACTAAAGGCAAAGCATCATAAAAAAATACGAAGATTTTGATTCACTGAGAGCAACTTCGTGAAATTGTGTGCAGTATAAACATTCGTTCGTATATATTTTGTGAACGATGTATCGATTTACGTAGCTTTTGGAACTCAGTCGAATGCTCCACGACTTTTCGACTGAATTTCTGGCAATGGCTAAAAAGATGATTTTCATTCGCACATCAAACCATTGAAGTTTCAACAATATTTTTTGTCAGATTTAGGGCATTTGAGTTGCGGGGAAAACAATTCCTTGCGCTTTTCGAAGGGCCCATTCAACGTGTTGTTTGTGAGTGTATCCGAGTTGCACAGTTCAATGGAACATTTACTTTGTTCTATTTTTCTTTACACTAATAAGAATAAAACAGAAGTATCTTTCCCGGAGAACCATTTTTTATAGTACTTCTGCTGTAAGAAATGTGTATAATCCAATTGGATATCGTACGATTTTTTCAAGAAGTGTATGTTGATGATGTGTCTGTATAGAAAAGAACAAAATCATGTAAAAAAGGATTGACTTTTTATTCCAGAAAAATTGCTATACTGTAATAGTTTTTAAGAGTCTCCATTCAGCGATTATGAAAAACTTATTTTGGGTCCGTGGCTGTTTTTGTAACGTCACTTGACCTTGCACTAATCACAGGTGTTTTTTTTTCGCGAGCCAATTTAATCAAAAGAAAACAACAGAAAGAAGAATTCGCAAAACAGCGACATGAGCATTGATGGTCGTATATATATTCAACATCGAAGGCATTTTTTCGAATTTTTCTCCCGAATGAATAAATTTTGGGATTGATTCCTTGGAGATCGAAGTGATGAACGGGGTACGAATCCATCAATCCAAGCAGTTGGTGGTCGCGTGGTCAATGCTCGAGTGGATCTTTTCCGAGGGAATGAAGGCTTCATCTATTTTTTTTTATCAACTCTCCCCCCCGCGCCCATATTTTTGTTGTTGTTGATTTACCCGAATCATCTCTCAGTTGAAGGAAGACGAATATCCTGCAATTTTCGGTCTGGAAATGAGGCAGCAGGTGGCGAAAATAAAACCATACGAGCGAGATCCCGCCAATAAACACAGCGTGACGTCGTGACCGCATGCATCCGGTGATCTTCCTTGCTATACTCAGAAAGAAGAATTTCAATTCATGGTACAGGTCTGGAACAACTTCGGATATATTAGTAGAGAGAGAGAGAGAGAAAAAAAAGAAATCAGGGTCAGAAAGCCCGGGGGAATCATTCCTCAATGTTCATTAAGCAACCTGGTTGGCTTTGAATCAACTTCCGGCTATACCTGCTCATATTTCCGTAGATAATGCTGCATATAGGCAAGCTGACAGCTTCATTCCAATTTTGAAAACGATTTAAAATATCGCTTAATTGAAAACAATGAATGAAATCCTTTTCTACAGAAAAACCGGAGTGGGCTTCGGACAACAGTTAGCCATCTCAATTAGCCACTTTTTAATAGAGTATATTCGAATTTGAGTGAAATCTCAAATATGCCTATTACAATCTAATACAGCCACATTTATAGCTTATATATACACATCAGATATCGCATTTGAATATTGAAACTAAATGTTTTTCTATGCTAAAACGTAGAGCAAATGCCAATTCAAACTCTGCTCAACTGCTTAACGTTCTTTTAAATTATTGATAAGTATTCGAATACCGACATCAACACAATTTCAAGCAGCATTAATATTAATAATTAATAACTAGTTTTATCATCCTTAAATTTCCCTGAGTAAGACATTTTAGCGACGTAAAAAATGGAATACAAATACTGTACTGTATTTTGGAAAATAAAATGCACCAGAATTTAAATTTTGACATGTATGTAGTACCCAAATTGAATGAGTTTTCGGATTTTCTCTATTTTGAAATTGTTTGCTAAATTGGTCAAGTATTTGCTTTTATAATCAAGAATGACTTGCAACAAAATTTGTAAAATTTATGAAAATTGCATATCCATCCGTAACGCACAGGCTCTTTTCCCCCCTCGTAAATTCAAGAAAAAGTGTTCCTGGTTCTTGAATAAATTCTGTAATCCAGGCTCTTCAAATTTTAAAACCCACAAATTTTCAGGGGATTAAAGAAAAATATACAAATGTCATCTATGCTTATCTACATATCCTTACAAAGTTATTTGACAGCGTTGAAAATATTTCAAAAGATAACCCATCTACGAAACTCTTTGCCAAAGCCTCACTATCCGAGTAACTCTTCTGCCGTCGATTGAAACATGTCCTTCGCGAAAATTTCGCGATTGAGCATTAGTCTTTTTTTTTACCCAGGGATCCACTGCATTTAAATTTAAAGTGTCTACCGTTCTTATACAGGGTAAAGGTTACGCAAAAAAACGCCTTATCAGCGGGGTGGATAATATAATTCCTGCAGCTTTCATCGTCAGGAAGTTTCATCGAGGAAAACAACACTCCTGCAGCAGAACACAGAGTGAGAGCGGGAGAGAGAAAAGAACAAGAAGAAGAAGGCAACGACGAACGAAATTGCGAAGAAATGAATCGATGAATTGATTTAGTGAAAAAAAAAGAAGGAAGACAGCAAGACGATC